GAAGCATGTGAATGAGAAGGATTGTTCTTTGTTTCGCGGGCACAGATCAGTTTGGCAGCAGTTTATGGACTAGTTTGGGCAAACATCTCGCTGCAAACAGGCACGCTGCTGCTACGATGATGCTGAGGACTCACTGATGTTGCTGGGCCGCAGAGTGCAGATAGTTGTGTTGCTACTGTAGCATGTTTGTTCAGGGTCCTGATCGTCTTCTGCGCTTACTCCGTCTTCTTCCGTACTGTCTTTGCAGTTGCTGTCCAGCTGGAGGGCCCGCCAGAGCAGGTTTCCACGTGCAACCACACTCGCCCCTACCGCTACCCTAGAGAAAAAGACGCGCAGAAAGCCATGTTTTGAGTACACAACCCAGACCATGAGGCCATGAACAAAAGGAGAGAATCCCCAGACCACGAAGTGCTGAAGTCTGCGTAGTCCCGAAGTCCTGATATCAAGCAACAACAGCGCAGTCCTGGAACCGAGCTTCGGTTCACTTCCCAACATAGCCTCAACACAAAGCAAGAGCTGACAGGTCCGGCACTGCTCCTCCTGATCCGAGCCCCGTGACCTCGGATTGCGAAGCAGAAGAAGCCGATTAGGTTAGGGGCCTGCTTGGTTTTCAATCATCGAGCCTTAAGACTGATCCAGTTAATTGGAATCTAGATGCGGAGAATTAGTAGAGAACAAGTGGCGGTCAGGGCTTGGGCCGTGGAACGTTTTTGGTGGGTCTACAACAAGTAAATCCGGGTTTTGAGTAGCGGAATGTAATTCGCAGCATTGGTTCCGAGTTCCGAGTGTTGCAGCCAGTTTCGAGTTGTACAGTTTAGCTCAGCTCTGAGATCGTGCAAGCCAAAGGCATGCATAACACCCGTCTCACCGGCCACACAAGGAATGTATCTGGGAGCATCAAGACATGGGCGTGCCGAGGTTCAGAGCATTTAGGTGCACCGAAGCATCGACGTCTTCTGCGGACTGACGGTTGGCCCGGGCAGGATCCGCAATCTGAAGAGGAATACGACCGGAACTATTGGATGCCGACCTCGGAGGACTGCCTTTGCTCAGCGAGAGGAGCAGGGGACGGTTCGTGCATGGTACATTCGACCTGGAAAGGAAAATCGGCTTACAACACAAGCACGTAACGATACGGCGCGTTCGCATGGATGTGCAGACTTCCGCCTTCTGGAGTTTTACTTTGGGGGAAGGCTGTGGATGAGGCGTTCAGGCTTTGAGTCCTTCGGGTCTGCCGAAAGGTTCGATGTGTGTCAACTGAAGACTTGCCTTTGTCTCGGAAGCCTTGCTACTAACCTAGGGGTGGGGGGTTTCTTGGAGATCCTGAGGGTCTTTGTGAGCAGGTTCTTGCTTTTGTAAGGTTTGGGTTGCATGACTCCCATATCGTTCACATGGATATTGTGGGATTTAGTTGCGGTGAGTTTTTCGTCACTGTACCGACTGGCCACTAGTTGTGTTGTCGTGGCATTCGTTTCTGGCAATAGTTTTATCCATCAGTGTTGCGTGTTAATCATCACGTTGCTGCCGTGTTTGCTGGTGCTTTTAGTTGGGTGTGTATGCAACTCCTGTGCCAAAGGATTTATGATTCTTGCAGCAGGGGGATGGAGCAGGCCTGTGGAGCTCCATCTACCCACGCTCTCCACAGTGTCCTAAGGATGTCACCAGGGACGCCTTGTGACATACCTGGACTTGCAATGGCAACCAGGCTCAGCCATAAACCTGGCAAATCGAAGATGTAATCTACCAGCACAGAGCATCCATCAAAGCGAGGGTCACTGGTTTGCAAGTGTGTTTTCCCGACAGTACTTCTGCCAAAGCGCTGTCGGGCTCCCGATCAGCGGGGGGAACTGGGAACATCTGGTGCATCCCGACTTTACGTGTCCTTTTCTGGTGCATGAGCCTTCAGTCCCTGCAGACCCACATGAATGAGGCCCCAATTACCAAGTTTAATTTGCCACTGGAAAACCCACTGTCCTGGTTCGCGCTCCAAAGAGCAGACAGCTCCCTGAAAGAACCCAGGTCTAGGAGCTCAGGAGTAGCTACATCATCATCAAATCATTTAACATTCTTGTATCACGCCTCTGCTTTGTTGTCTGAGCCCTGGCAAACTATCATTTTCACTTTCAGCAACACCAAGAACGCGGAAAAGGACATCGAGAGGATGCAAGACCTTCGCCTCCTTCGTCGATTTCAAGTCCAACGTATGCGTCAATGCCTTTGGAGTAGCTTGTCGTGTTGCTGTGGTGCTGCCGGTTGTTTGTCGTCGTCTCTGTTGCACGTGTAAGGTTGTGGTGATGGCTGTTCTCTTCGAACAGTCGTCGTCGTCGTGTTGTTCTTTTTGTTGCTTCTCGTTCGTCGTCGGTTTTGTTGCCAGTGTAGATGTTGTGGTGTTGGCTGTTGTGCCTTTCGGTCGTCGTCGTCGGTCTTGTGTTTCTGACGTTGGTGCCTTTCGTCGTTCGTCGGCGTCGCCGGTGTCGTCGTCGTTGTTGTTGTTGGAGTGTGCCCAGATCTGCTACGCCGTCGCCAGCTACCGGCACACACAGGTTCATGTGTGTGAGACTCCTGTGCCAATGGATTTTATTGTTGAAGCAGGGGGATGGAGCAGGCCTGTGGAGCTCCATCTACCCACGCTCTCCACAGTGTCCTGAGGCTGTCACCAGGGACGCCTTGTGACATACCTGGATTTGCAATGGCAACCAGACTAAGCCATAAACCTGGCAAGTCGTAGATGCTAGCACAAACCGCATCCATTTGCAAGTTGTGCGCGTGCATTGTTGTCGTTGCCTTTTTGTTGTGGGCGTTGTTGCTGTTGTTGTTGTTAGTCTTTGCTACAAGTGTCGTTCATACCTGCCCAGTAGCATCATGAATCATGATCCTTTAATTGCCTTAGTCATGGATTTTGTTTACCAGGAATTTTTGCCAATACTCGAATCGCTTCGCGTATTGTGTCGCTTTGGGTGCTGGCCTAGACGGTAGCAGGCTTATGGCGAAGAGTCCAGGAAGTTCGAAGATGCGAGCAAGTTGAGTAAAGTTTTCTTGTTTTCCTCGTTAGCGTTTTTGATCCTCGAACACTGCCACCAATGAAACAAAATCTCAGTTATCACCGCACAACAAGCCGTGTCGCTGAGGGGTGACACACAGCCAGTCGCCAAATATATCTGATCCGGGTTTGAGCGTGCATGAGAGCGTTTGACAGACGCCAGGAGCTGGCGATGATGGTGCGCATGGTGCCTTTGGGTGCTTTTCATGTGCTGAAGGTTCATTCGTGGATGGCCGTTGAGTATAGGGCAGGTGGCTGTTGGAATTCACAACGGACGGCATGCTCGAGATCTGAATCGCTTCGTCATAGGTTTTGGACCTTGGGGAGGATCTTTTCTCGTCAGATGCTGCCATGTTCTAGCATTCTACAGCTAGCATGTCACAGGCGATATTATGCGTCACAAACGCAGTGTCAGTCACGCTCAATCATGCATAGATCCATGTCGGCCTTGAACAACGACGGCCTGTGGCGCACTAAAGATTGTTGTGTGGGATGCCTGCATCCTGCTTGTCACTGACCTTCGTAAGCAAGGAAGTTCAGTGACCAGTCTTACACGACCCCATCTCCGTGAAAGCATGCCCCACCCTCGAGACAGAAGCCGATCAGCCTTGCAGTGACACGTTCTGGCCGACATGCGTTCAAGGACAAGAACCCCTAATTATTCTTTGATGATGAGGCATGATGAGGCCCTTTAAAACGGGACAGATCACCACGTATCAATGCTCAGGACCCAGAACACACAAGAGCTTTAAGCATCATGCACAACTCCACGCCAGGGAGAGCTGCCCCACATCATGGGCGACCACTTCAACATGGTGGGTGCACCCTGGGATTTCTCCTTTTCGGAAGCGCAAATGTATTGATACTTTCTGAAATGCTCCAGAGCATGGCCGTGCCTTCCACGGGCATGTTGAACGGCGAGTTGGGTAGCATGGAGTCATAAGCCAACGAGGGAATTACAGTGATTGCCGGGTTTGAGTTAGTCCAGGCTAAATGCACTAGCTTATCTTGTCTATCATTTATGTGCACTGAAGTTTGTAACAGGAGACGTTAGAGCAGTCTATGTGGTTTTGTTGTTGTTGCTTGCGTGTTGTGGTAGGCACTTCACAGTATGGCCCTGCTTTGCAGCCCTCGGCTGAAGGAAGGTGTTGGAGCTTCCGGTGCCAGCACTAGCGATTTTCGGACATTCTCATTCACAGTCTTTTGGCTGATCGCACAGACTCGCATAAGTCTCAAAAAACCCGCGTTGGTCGAGGGCCCTGTGACATCCAACAGCCTTTGCGTTGTCCTGCAAAGGGCAGTTTAGAGCTTCGGGCACGGGAACTTGTCAAGTGTCCGAAGGAGTTCGATTGCGACCGAAGGTCCAGATCCGCCACGCGTACCCAAAGGGGTCGCAAGGTTGCGTGCCGATTTAGCGCAGGTACGGCAGGTACGGCGCAGAAATGCACAGACAAGGAGGTCGTTGGCGTTCGCGTAGCGCTCGCACGCTGTCGCAGAGGATCACCTAAGCCTGGCTTTCTTCCAGGCCAGGTGCTCGATGAGGTCCAAGTGAGGTGTGACTGACCCACCATGGACGAGCTTTTCTCAAGGCTTAGCGCCACATGTTCCGATTTGGGGTCATTGCAATGGGGGTTTGTTTGGGGTCGGACAGCAGCCTATATACCTGCACCAACGCCACACATCAAGACACATGCATACACGCATGCATGTCTGCATGCAAGCATCCTTGCAGATTGCTGGCTTGTTAGCTTTCGACCTTGCTTGCACAGAAACGCGCACGAACACATTCTACGAACAGATATGCGCATAAACCATTTGCATGGGTTGGAGTCGTCCTATGAAGCTGGGGTGCTGGATGCTGCATGTGTGTCCTCAATGACAGCATTGGGCAGCTGCTTGGACTTCTCCAGCTCAGCCAGCTGCAATGAGACGCACGAGAGCCGCGGGCAGTGTACCCGCCATGATCAAGACGCGGAGACTCTTCTTTGAACGCGGTGCGCGATACCCGCTTAGGTTTGCAATGCTGCCGCTTCTTCCGGCCCTGGTTCGACAGGTGCAGCTTTGCTGCGCCGGTGCGGCACTGCAGCGACTGGCTTTACCGGAAGTCCTGGCAGATCGACGCAAGTATTTGCTGCTTTGTACACGGGGTCTCGAAGACCAGGCCGAGGCCTTGCTTTGGAGGAGCCTTGGTCGGGAGGTTCCAAGCTGGCGAATACCTCCACCCCAAGATTTGCCGCGTGTTAGCGAAGGCCATGCAGCAGTCGGGAAGCTGGTTATTGGGCTCAAAGACGGCGAGGACTTCCCTTGTGGAGGCATTCCTGGAATCATCCACATTTATGCCTTGGTGGATTCTGCCACGGGGCTTTCCGATGACAAGGAAGCGGCCATGAAGCAGCTTCTCACTTGGACGACAGGCTTCACTACTGGGGCCTGATTAGCAAAGCCACGCTATGCAAATACACAAACAGTAGTCGTAGCAGGGCCCTGTCGTCAAGGCTTCCTAGGTGGTGGATATCAGGTTCCGCTCGATGAACCTTTCTCGTTGCTGTCAAGGTCCGGATCAGTTTACCGGCAGCTCGATGCGAGTCCCTAAATAGAACCTGGCCAGGAGCAGTCTAATCGGAGGGGGTGTTAGTGATCACGGGGGACGTCAAGTTGCGGCAAGCGGCCCGTCTAACCGAGGCGTTTATCAATGAATACTGAACCGAGATTATGCAGTACGAACGCATGAACCAGAGGCCTTTCCAGATACACAATGCCTCATGGCTCAGGAATCTGCTCGTGAAGCCTAATTTGGGGGGTATGGAATGCCAGTCAGAAATCAACAGGAGTGCTCGCAACGCTTTCTCCAAAGTCTCCTTTTATGAGAGCTTGGACACGCAAGTCAGACAGTCAGACCCAAAGCCCCATTAAGGCTGCAGACGAACAAACCTTCAGAGGCCAAGCCCACAGCCTAAGCCCTGCCCTAAAGCGCTAAGCCCAAAGACTTGAACATCTCGGTGCAGGTTTGGGTCCGGAGTTACTGACGGCTGTCCGGCTAACACCTGCAAGCACGGCCACCGAAGCCACCTTCCGCGCTTCGGTCGTGCGAGACGGGGAGCACAACTTCACGTCCGAGGAGTGGGAAGATGGGTAATCGGCTGTGCTTTGAGGGTGTGCGATACTTGTGGCAGTTTTGCAGTTCCCGGGTGTTCTTGTGCATGCCAGTCCTCGTCTCCCCCTATCACGCACTAGCTTGGTCTTGGGTCCTAGCCCAGAAGGGACTGGGACGACAAGGCTTCTGTTGTTGGTGTCTTGCCAGGAGCTGCTCTTTCGTCGCTGGGAACCCTGCGAACATTGTCCGACAGTAATAGACAATAAACTGGGCACTGTACCCAAGGTGAAACCCTGAGGTTGTGACGGCTGAAGCATGCTGAAGCGCTGAAACCCTGCAAAGCTGACCTACAAAAGTCCAAGTTCCTGCAATGCTTGTGAGGAGGCCATGCCGGCGGTCGGCGGCGGTGTTGGGATGGCTATGCCGTGGAAGGCTGGGTTCAGGCATCGCGTGTGTATGCTTCGAACTAATACCGATTTAGGAGTTCGGGTGTGTATGGTTTTTGCTTATTTCGTCTGGAGTGTCTAAAGTGTACGTAGGTTCAGCATTGTAGAGGCTGAAAAAACATTCGCTGAGCTTTGCAATCTCGTGATACCGTGCGGTTTGGTGACACTCTGGGGCGCTACTTCACGATCAGATCCTTCCTTCTCGAGACACAGACTGCAAGATTTGGATGACGCCGGTTACTTTTATAAGATGCGACAGAACGGCCAAATATCAGAAAGCCTGTGCTTTAAATGTCAACGACGCTTCGAAGCCATGCTGCAACATGGTGTTCATGATGCATACTGCTGCTAGCGAACATTTTCTTGTCTTGCTGACTTACGTGCCCATCCAGCAAAGGCAACACCAATCTCAAGACTTCATGCAGGCCCTCACCACGACTACGAAAACGCCTCCCAGACTCTAAAGTTTGGACTTTGTGCATCAATCCCTGACCCTGCATGACCATATCGCCCCTCGCTGCACATTTGTATTTGCCGGACAGTGGACTAAATCTTGAGCCTTTGAGTTTGAGCCGATCCCTGTCTCCTTCACGATGCCGAATAAACATGATTCGTAGCTGCGACCGTTGAATTCCTCCTTGCTGCGGGCCTTATAAACCTAGACGAGCTAAGACTCATTCCAATTTGGATGTTAAGTCGTTCATGGCAGAGCGTACAACTGTTGCAATCATGGCATCTTCTGAAGGTCAACCTGAAAACCTACGACATCGAGGTCACAGCGATCATCCACCGCGACACCGTGGCTAAGTTGCCACGTGATTTTCGTTAGCGTTCTCGGGCTTCTAACGCTGGCAGCTGATGCTTCACACGCTTATTCCTGCAGGTTGCTTGTGCATAAGCCAGCGAGCAAGGTAAGCCAGTCCCGGCACGGAAACATCAGGGTTCGCCGGTTGCCTTCATGAAAGCGATTTGCCATTTGCAGCTCCGAAGCCCTATAGACTACACCAGGTGGTCTTGGGACTCTCCTGTGCGCAGCTGGGAAAGTCACGCCGAGGTGTCGGGACTACTTCCTTTCTCAATGTGTAATGCAGAGGTCAGAATACGTCGGATTGGGGACAATCTGTTGGCGCGCGGCACCTGCTCCTATCTTTGAGGTGTGCTCTCGAAAAAGTGAAGCGACTGATTGGTTTTTTCGGAGAGACGGAGGGAGCCAGGCACAAAGATTGGGATGCAAGTAAACAGAGAGCAAACAAAAGCAAACAAGCAACGCCGGTATACACCTCCCTCCTACCCGCACAGAGAGATTGCTACATACGTATACAAAAGATTTTCTAGCAGGCACAAAGACTTGTGGCGGGCATGTGCGGCGGTCACTCGTACTTTTTGTGACTTGCTGTGACATCTGTCTGTATGAGTGAGATGGTGAAGATGCGTCGAGGCAAGTGTACTGCGCGATTGTACGACGACGGAGACAGCAGGAGATCCCTTGGAGTATGGGTTGCACGTAGCGTCCTATCAGGCCGCATTTTGAAAGTCCTGCCATGCCGTTTTCTGTAACTGTCATTAGGATGCTGGATTGCCGCAATCGTCGAAAAATATGGCGTTTGCAAGCCTTATGTACACCTTGCGGCTCCAAGCAGGTGCCACTCAACCATCGAAGCTGCCCCGTGAGCAGCGGCCGTGGCACCTCTCTGATGCGAGGCATCTGCGCTTCTCCACGGCGCGCTTGCTGCTAGCGCCTCAGCTCTGATTAGAGCTTGAAAATTGGGCTGATGTAATGTTCATGGTTCCCAGTTCTGGACTTGGCCACAAGGCTTCGGGTTCGGTGGTCTTAGCCTAGTAACTATGGTACCACGATGGATCAGGCAACACGTTCTTCTCCTTTGGACCCAATCTGTCCACTACACATCGGAGGTAAACAAACAATGAAGATGTGCCAGGCCCCACGACGTAGTAAGAGTATGTTAGAGTGTGATGCTGACGAAGTTTCAGTCTGTGGATGCATTTGGAGGTTCGTGCCCCATCCTCAGGGCCTGCTTACTCTTTAGATAGGTTGCTGTTCGGGAAGTTCTCAGACTTCATCAGTCGTGGTGTTGCGAGTTGTGAGCATCCGGGTCATATGGTGACCAGCTTTTGTCACTCGACTATCTACATTGCCATTAACTGCGATTAACATCCTGTCAAACATGTGTTTACGCACATTACTTTTGGAAGCGTGCCAAACTTATCATGCAAGTTTGTGTAGTAAAGACGACCACCACTAGCCTCAAGCACATCATGCAACGACGCCAAAGGAATTGGCAGAAGTATCTGCTGGAGATCGGTTGCTGGACCTTTGCGGCGGAAACTTGACTGCACATGGAGAGTGTTGCACCCCGATGCTGATGCGGAAGTGATGTAGAATCTGAGGATGAACTAGCTCTGGCTTCAGTGTTTCTCGTTTTGGGGTTCCCGGAGTTTCAGGGTTCAGGGTAGGTGCCTTCAATCGACTCAACCCAATGGGATCTTAGACCTTTGCTTGCGAGACACCTCAAAAAGACAGATCGAAAGCCTGCGTCCTATCCTATCCCAACCTTTGCAGACCTCCGAGTAAATCTTTCGAACATGAGCCACTTCATTGCCACGGTCCTGTTCATAGGTGTGTGTGTGTGTGTATGTGTGTATATATATATATATTGAGTGATGAAAGCTGCCTGTTTGTTGCACGCTGCCTGGTGCTCAAGGCATGGGTACCATTGCGCTCGAGGCCGCTTGCTGCTTTCCTGACCTTCGGGCAACGTCTGCGGATGCTCCTTGGGCTTGACCTTTCAGGCAGCTTGAAAGTACTGCGCTGCTTCTGTATAGGGCATTCAGCAGTCTTCATGTTGCACCCACTCGATATATAGGGCCTCCAGTTTAATTCCTGTGTGCTGCTAAGATTTAAGATGTTACCGGTTTAGTTTTAGCTTGATCCTGAGTCCGCATTTGAGTGATTTGCACGCACCGCGCTATGTAGGCTTTGAATCGACCGTGTAAGAGGCCATCTGTATGGATTCCACTGTAGCCGCCCGAGCGCCCAAGGTGAGCCAGAGGGCCTGCCAGCGTGCCGAGGCCAATGTGGCCGCCGCCCGCTCCCTGGGGCTCCTTGGGCTTGGCTCATCGGTGGAAGTCTTAGTGAGGCGCCTTGGGAGAATTGGAGACAGGGGAGCGTCGTGGGACCGATTGTTGGTGTGTATAGACTGCTGAAGGGGCTGTGCGGGTTCAGGCAGTGTATACATCCCACGTTTATAGAAAAGCTTGTCAGGCGCCGTCAACGGCTCTGGTGCTGTTTGCTGCTGGGATCTCGCGCAGTCCTTTGGAATTTGCTTGTGTGGGTAGTTTCTGGAGAGACGGCTTTTCAGGATGTCAGATGCGAACAAGTAACATTACATATACACAACATATCTAAGCCACTCACTAGATTCAACATGGCCTTGTGGCCTTGTGCAAGGGGAGTGTCGGGGTGGACGCGGTCATCGCAAGAATTCGACGTGGTGGTCTCAGAGCTTCCTTTCGGCGTAAGCATTTCGATACTGGACTCCAATGTGCCCCTCGGCTCGCATTTCTGCAAGTGGCTCGAGGTGAAAACTCTAGCGCTTTCTGGAGAAACACTTGGGGGTCAAGGTCTCGTTTGAGCCCTACTATATAGTTACTACATGCGTGTTTACATTCAGCGTATTTGCTGGTTCTTTGCAGAAGAGGCCCCTGAAGGACCCGGCACCCCACCCCGAACTCGAAGTGCACAGGCTTCTCACTGCACTCCAGCGCGTGGTCCGCCCGGGTGGTCGGGTGGTGCTCATTGCACCGTGCTCCGAATCGCCAAGCTGCCCAGGTTTAGACGAGCAGACAGTTTTCTACTTTTTCAAAGTTCCCGAACTCCTGGCTTGAGAGCTTGATTAAGGCGAATGGGTGAGGAATTGGGGATCAGGTTCTCAAATTCCTGGCCACATCATGCTATGCATGTTTGCTTGATCCTCCCCGGTTTGCGGATGTTTCGGGGTTTGTGTGTGCGATTCAAGGTCAGCTACATCTGTACAATCAGCAGCTACACCCTGCATGGTTTAGACAGATTAAAGCGCACGAGCTTCGGGTTGCAGCGCAAATCGCGCCTGCCTCGAACCTATGACCTATGCTCCTGCACCATCGGATCAGGCATCGAAGAGCACACGCTCAGCGACACTTGGTGCGAGTACCGACGATGCGATGGAAACGTGGGTGGCACTTCTGTGCACATCCTGTACTTCCGGCGCGCGGATCGTGCAATACCTGGAAAAGCAACAGCCGCCCTGTCAAGCTGCATAGCACTTTTCCAACACACATTCAACGCGACAGCCGCAAGGAATCACGGAGAGCTGCAGGGCTGTCAGGGGAAGCTGTAGCTAAAAGATCTCAGAGTTTGATGACGAGCGCCGGCCGAAGTCAAACGCATGAGGTTTCCAACCCGAACCATGACGCATCCGATCCATGAACCCTATGAAACCTCCAGGATATGGTGGGCCCCGTTTTTTCGCACCGTTTTCGAGGAACATGTGCCGTTTGCAACGCAAGTAACTTCAAGCCAGGCAGCGCGAATGGCCGTGCATGCGTACAACATTGATCACCCATCAAAACTACAATCTAGCGCCTCGAGGGCAGCAGTTCATAGTTTATTGCTCTTCCCCCTCCTCACTCCATTTGGCATCGTACGAGTGGAGCGTTACTCGGCCTTCGTTGCACACGGGTCTTTCGACCGTCGAGCGGTTGTGTCCGGCTCTCCTAGCTATGCTGTCCTCATCTCTTCACTGTTCCCTTGCCTCTTACACTTGCTTTTTTATTGTCTTGGGGGCGAGCATAGATCCAAGATTCGTATGGAGAACGAGACAACTGTTGTGAATGTGGCTCTGCTTTGCAGCTTTACAGCCTGTCAGATAGAAGCAGAGGCGACAAGTCATGGTTTCAACGGCACCGGAAAGGGGCATTTCACTCTCCTCATCGGGCACTTTGGAGACCTAATGCGATATATAGAGCCTGACATCTTAATCGACCACCACCGGACCTGTGTGATAGCTTCTCACAGCAGGTTTGTTGAACGGAGTCCTCCTGGACCAGACACTTCTATAGTAGACCCCTAATCAGTGCAGAAGCAGCTTTCGTTCTCTGCAAGTCGAACTGTTCAGAGCTGATGGCACTCGCCCCTGAGCCAGCAGCTGTGGCCGCTTAGCATGATGCCGGGTTTACGTGGGTCAGCCAAACAGGTTGGCAGTAGTGAGAATGCTCAGAAATGCTGAGCTGCCGGGAGTTGGTATGGAGCGAGGATGTAACGATGTAGTTTCTGCACCTACATGTTGTCGGATGCCTTTGGCTCACCTTCTTGCTCCTGGCGGCAAAGGGCAATAATATGATAACCGGTCAGAAAAGGCAGTAATGCTTGTAATGCTTGTAACGGTTTGGCAAAGAATCCCAGGCTTCTTCAACTCCTGAGTTCTGTGTCTGCCGACCATTACACCCTCACCGTGGCAGAAGCCCTGAACCGAGGCCCCGGAACCAGGACAGCACTGCCCAGCACTGCTGTGAAGAACAACAAACCAACGACTCGACCTTGCCTGCAGGGTTTTCAGGACTCCGGAAGCGATTGGTTCCCGTGCCCAGGAGCGGATCCTTGGGGGTTTGCACGTCGCGACCTCAGATTCTGGGAGCGTGACTTCGTTATACGATGTTTAAACGTCCTTGCACCACTCCAAGCTTCCTGAAGGCTTTGATAACAAGCGCACGCTGTCATGCCGTTTGTTTCGAGTTTTTCCGAATCGAAGGTTTGCTGTTTCAGCCACAGTCTTACGCTTCAAGCTAATTTGCCGCCGCTGATTTGCAACAGCAGACAGCCAGGAGTGGCGAGACGTGCAGGGTGTGATCCGCACCATCTTTCAGGCGACGATTCTGCAGGTATGATATCCTTCATGTGGATAAGGATGTGAGGAGAACGTTCGCTCTAGGCCTTGGGGTTGTCGGATCTACAGGTGTTTCTGTATGCAGAAGCCGAACAGTGAGGAGCAAAACCGTCATAGTAGCTCACGATTTGCGGAGAAGGAACGCGAGAGTGTTTTGTGGTCCGCCGTAAGAGCCGGAAGTTAACCTTAGTCATCGCAAGGCTAGCAGCGGCAGCGAGTTCAAAACTAGTCATGTCAGTCAAGAATTCGTTTACTGTCACCTTGCTGGAAGTAACTTGAGGCTACGGGAATCATAGGGCGCGTGCAGTATCGACGCAAGCTAAATGGGTCTGGAAGAAAGCCTTGGGCATGTCTAAACCACAAAAGATCGTGACATCAGCTGCGCTTGCGAGCCAGGCTCTGTGCGACGTGGCACATGCACAAAGCAATGCAGTGCGCGAAGCATGGTCCCTACCAGACTTTGCATTCTTGGAGTGAGGGATTGGATCTCAGGGGTCAGTATAAGTGCTGAATCAATGCTTGGTGCGCCTCGGCGTGAGCCAACGTTTCAGAGTCAATGTCAGCAAGCTTGATCAAGCTTGAATTGTCTTCAGAAGCCACCAACATCCAGCAACTAAGGCATGCCACTGTTACTGGTTGTTTCACTGAAATTTGCGTGCAGGATATCTTCAGAACATGTTGACGCAAGCAAAGCGACCGCGAGCAGTTTGGTGCTGATTTGGAGAAGCCAGCGAACCGAGGCGACACGTTCATTCCATGCATCATTCATTGCTATGCTGATAAACCAGGCCAGCCACGCATCATCAGAATCAAGGTAACTAGTTCTGGCAAACTTGTCAGAGCAGGCCATCCACTCATCATCATCATCATCATCATCGTCATCGTCGTCATCATCGTCATCATTACCACCATCGTCATCATCGTCATCATTTCTCCAAGGTTATGCTGCCAAATTTCTTTAGCCAAGTCAGCCACGCATGATCATCAGCATTGTTGCAAAGTTTTTTCTGGAAGAACTTCAGAAGGCCAGGCATGCATCATCACCATCACTTGTTGCAAGGTTTTTGTGCAAAGTTTCCAAAGATCAAACCAGCCAAGCATCACCAGCATGATGTACTCCAGGCTCTTCTTGGAAAGCTTCCAAAAAACAGGCCAGCCAGGCAATGGCATCTTTTGTTCCAAGGTCTTTCTAGACAACTTGCAAAAACCAGGCCAGCCACACATCAGCCCAGAGGATATCTGCAAAGTCACAATACACCAGGTCAGCCATGCATCATCATCATCATCGTTGCTCTAAGTTTGTTTGTGGAAAACTGTCGATGGCAAGGCCAGCCATGCATCAGCAGCATCAAGATACTTCTGAAAGGCTTCCTAGACCAGGCCATCCACACTCATCAGTTTCAGCATCATCATCTTCTTCTTCATATGCAAAGTGCCCTAAACCCGAGCCAGCCCGCATCATCAGCAGTTTAACCAAACTTTCCAAAGACCAGGCCAGCCAGCCATTTGTTCCAAGATTTTTCTGCAAAATTTCACAGGCCAGACAAGCACGCATCATCGGCATCATTTGTTCCCAGATATTTCTGAAAAGTTTCCAGACATCAGGCTAGCCACGCATCATCGGCATCATTTGCTCCAAGGCTTTTCTGCAACGATCGCAAAGACCCAGCCACGCATCGTCGGCATCATTTGCAACAAGGCATTCAGGAGAGCTTAAAAGACCAGGCAGCCACACATCGTCAGCATCACTTGCTCCAAGGTTTTCCTGCAAACTTTCCAAAGACCAGGCCAGCCACGCATCATCACAATCATTTGCTCAATGTATTGCTAGAAAGTTTCCGAAGACCAGGCCGGCCACGCATCATCAGTTTCATTTGCCACAAAGTTTTGATGAAAAAGTTTCGATAACAACGCCAGCCACGCGTCATAAGCATCAGTTGCTCCAGCTATTTCGCGAGTTTCCGCGTCCAGGCCATCCACGCATCATTAGCATCAGTTGCTCTAAGGGATTTTCTGGTCACTTTGGTTGCAATGACGGCCAGCCACACATCATCAGCATCAGTGTGTCAACTTTTTTGCAAAGTTTACAAGTATTGGGCCAGCCACGTGACCTGAGCATCATTGGCTCCAAGGTTTTGCTGGAAGGCTTCTTAGACCAAACGATCCACACATCAGCAGCATCGTGGCTTCATCCGTGGTCCAAGCTATATCTGCGCAGTTCCCAGAAACCCCGCAAGCCACGCATCCTCAGCATCATTTGCTCCAACGGTTTTTGCAAAAATTGCAAAGACCAAGCCAGCCACGCATGAACGGCATCATTTGCTCCAGGCTCTTCTTGGTAAGCTTCCAAGACTTGGCCAGACACGCATCATCAGCATCATTTGCTCCAAGGAGTGATTGGCAAGTTTTCACTGACCAGGACAGCCACGCATCATGAGCATCTTTTGCTCCAGGGCTTTTCCGGAAAGTGTTCACTACCCAGGCCAGCCCTATCAGCAACACAATTTGCTTCAAGGGTTTTTTAAGCAACATTTCCAAAGACCAGCCAGATACGCACCACCAGCAGTGTTTGCTCCAACTTGTTTTTGCGACCTTCCGCATCCAGGCCATCCACACACCATTCGCATAATTTGCTCGAAGACATCATTGACCAGGCATCATCAGCATGTGTGCTCCAAGGTGTTTTTGCATAATTTGCAAGCATTCGGCCAGCAGGGTATCATGATCCTCATGCTCACAAGATTTTTTGTTGAAAAGCTTGTTCGACCAAGCGACCCACACAGCAGCATCATTGCTTTATCCTTGGCCGAACTTTCCAAAGACCCAGCAAGCTGCACATCATCAGTTTTCATTGATCAGGCCAACCACGCATCATCAGCATCGTTTACTCCCAGATGTTTGTGCGGAGTGTCTTAACAGACCATGCCAGCCACGCATCATGAGCATCATTTGATCCAATGTGGTTTCTGCAAACTTTCCAAAGACCGAGCCAGTCTCGCATCATCAGCATCAGTTGCCTCAGCGTTATTCGGCTAAACTTCCAAAGACTCGGCAAGTCACGCATCATCAGCATCATTTGCAATTTGCTCCAGGGCTTGTTGCAAAGTTTCCAAAGACCAGGCCAGCCACGCGTCATCGGCAGATTTGCTCGAAGATAGTAGCCAGGCATCATCACCATTTGTGCCCCAAGGTGGTTTCGTATAATTTGCAAACATTCGGCCGGCCACGTATCAGGATCATGATTTACTCATAAGGTTAACCGGAAAGCTCATTAGATCAAGCGATCCACACCTCAGCAGCATCATTGCTTTATCATTGGCCCAGGGTGTTTCTGCGTACTTTCCAAAAAAACCAGCAAGCTGCGCAGATGACCAGGCCAGCCAACGCATCATCAGCATCGTTTGCTCCCAGATGTTCGTGCGGAGTGTTTTAACAGACCAGGCCGGCCACGCATC